TGACCTAGGTGTGCAAAGGGGTTCCGCTTTCCTTAAGTAGAGTCTTTTTTTAATAATCCTTAAGTAGAGTAGCAGCAACCATTTTAGTAATCGTCAATCTCCGTACAAACACAGTAGTAACTGAGACTTCAGTAGCCGAAGAGCCTTGTAGGCTCTATCTCTTTCGGGGAATAGTTCTGGATTTTCAAGAATGCCACGTAAATCTGATTGTCTTGTCATTTCATTATTTTTACGTATTGTTTGATTGTTCGTCATGACTATCTAGCACCAGGCCCCTCATATCATGCGTTACATATCTTGTCATCTCTACAGGAACGTCTTAGAAATCGTATCCCAATAGCCGGTTAGGCAGAAAATATCGGTGATTCGAGCAATATAAAGTGATTAAATCACGCTTTCAGTACATAATACTAACCGCTGATTCGTTATAACTTCCAACACAATTTTACAATAGCTCCTTCATAGTTGTCACTTACAGTGAAACACCTAGGCTGATTATTTATTTTATACAACCCTAAATCTACATGGTCCATCTTAATTATTTCAGAGATAAGGACCATATGGCTAATTGCCCTGAACAACTGGCATCAGCTGGCACACTCCTTGATGATCGAGTTGAATTGGAGAGGTGCCCGTGCCCCTTCCTTCCTAAATTCGTGTTTCCCCCAACTACACAAGTGGCAGCCCACTGGTCCACTACTACCCAAAGCCCAAAGGGTGAGTACTTATCCAAAACCTGCAACATTCCCCAACCCCCCAACCAACAAGATAACACGGTCTCACTCTGTTTGATGCAATTGCAATGGTTGCTGGATCCTCTGTTTTCGGCTCATGAAAAGGGTTCTCCTGTCTTTCTGTTCATGTTGTTGTTGTGTCGCCCTTCTGTTTGCTTCTGGGCCTTTTCTCTCCATTTTCGATGTACTGGTTCTTTGGGATTTCTTTCTTGTAGTTGATTTTCAGGGTGTATCCCTTTCGTTGTAACCGAGTTTCTTTCGGAATGAAATATAAGCAACCTCTTTGTAAAAAAAAAAAAAAAAAAAGATAACACGATAACGTAGCAGCAGTAAACCCAACCCTACCACTACCACAGGTTTCCAAGCATACCCAACCCCACAACGTGCCGACAGTTGCGCCGATCGAACCCATGTGCCCTCTCCAACTGCGACCCTAAAAAATGGAGTCCAGCAACACAGACTTACGAAGAAGAAGAAAGGAAAATTAACAGAGCTTGGAGATTTGCATAATCGAATTCATCGATAACTCCTCGTATATACAGATTACAGCTTGCCAAAGAGCCCAGCAGCAGAAACAATTATAAAATCAGCTGCCGGTAATTGCGTATAATAGAATTCTCATAATCGGAGCCCTTAATTTCGCGACAAATTCGACTCAATTGACTCTCAACTCCAAACAGTGACCTCCCTCCTCCGACCTCCTTCCGCCGCCGACGGAGCCTTGCTGCCCTTCCAGCTCTCCGCCACCGAATACCGGTCGGGAGTGGCCGGCAGCCTGGCGGCGAAGCCGCTGAGCGCCAGCTCGTCCTCCCGGTGAGCCTCGTCCTCGAAATTCAACGAGTAACTCGCCGGATCGTACCTGAAATCCTCGGATCTGTAGCGCCTACGGTTGCGTCCGCCGCCGGATCTCCTCCCCCCGAACCCGCGGCGGCACATTTCCCGGATCTCGAGGTCACAGCTCGACCTCACTGCCGGCTTATCTGTATAATCGTCATCCCCTTCGGGGTCGAGGATCTCGTGGGGGAGCTGGCCCACGGGGGTGAAGCAGCAGATGGAGGACTTGAGCATGTGCCTGAACGACGACGGAGGAGAGTAGTGTCCACCGCCGCCGCCGCCGCATCCTTCCCTGCTAATCATTGGCATCGCCATTCCAATCGAGCTTCTCTCTGTTTCTCTCTGGTTTTCTCTTCTTGTTGAGTGCTGAATGAATAGTATTAGTAGTGTGGAAGCAAGTGCGAGTAGCGGGGGGATGGGATAGAAATAGAGAGGCAAAACCGTGGGGCGGGCGTGGCCCCCGCGGGCGCCGGTCGTTTTCCGTTACAGGATGGGAGGTTGGAACTTGGAAGCCGCGGGAAGGCAATTAATGATAATTGTTATTAATTTAATTACTTTCAATTTGGACGGCTGTCTTCTCTTCTGCCTGTCGACAGACATTTTTAGCGTTTTAGCGACTCCAGATCCTGGAATTATTGTAAAGGGAAAAGGGCCGGTGGTGGTGGTGGTGGTGACTGGGGAAAGAAGACAAAAGAAGGGACGGGAATCTATCTATCTATCTAATCGACGACGTTGATTAGAGTAGATTAGGATGTGCCACCCACCATTAAAGCTGGTCGAGTCGAGTCGACGACTGCGGGTTTTGCTGCTTAGATATTATTATTGTGTGAGATTATAATATCTGGGGTGGGGTGGGCATCTTCTGTCACCGTCCATCAGATTAGATAGATTGGAATATATATATAAACACTAATTAACTAACTCCGTTATTTTATAATATAATTTTGTATACCGGAATACGTTGGTTGTTGACTGTTGTTGTGTTAGTCGACATTTATCAAAATCACGATGATGTTTTGCTTTCCTCGAGCTGGTTTGGGCAGCTGACAAAAGAGTACTCCTCGGTAGTCGGTACACTAATGAGTGGTGAGAGTGAGTAAACGAGCCGCATATTGCTTTTGTATTGAATTTGTATCGTGGCAATTAGTCGAATGATCATAGTGTGGCAAGTGTGTGTATAAGATTTTCTTTTTCAGTGACACAAGAAGATCAGGACGATTGATCACAAAAGGTTGATATGATAAACTTGGATTATGCAGACAAATGCACCAAGCAACCAGTCTCGGTAGTTCAAGTTATGTAAAATTGCACGATATTTTCGAAATTTTCAAGGAGACACGAGTCTCTTTATTATTTTATTTTCTGTATTCTCTTGATTTAGGGCTTTGGCCCATTAAAGGCGCCACCATAAAGCCCAACACTAATTTGGGACACTTTTTTGTTTGTTCGAGCACTCTATCTAAACATTTACATTTGACATGTCTTCATGTCAATTTTAACCCTAGAGTTGGGGCTTAACCCGGATAATCACACCCGTTTTAAACCGGTCATAACCTAACAAACCCGATCGGGTCGACCCACAGCAGCGGGTTCCGGATTGGTAAAAAGTAAAAACGTTCGCTTTTGACTTTTTCACAGTTTTGAGTTTTCCCTTCGGTTTGCAATTTTGCTTCTCTAACCCTCTGTTCTCTTTGTCCTCGCGAGCAGAGTCGCGGGCCTGGTGAGTTGACCAGTCCAACGAGTCAGAGTTAAGCGGCGCCGTTTGGCATGAGCAGGGGGAAGAGTAAAACCCTTGACTCAAGGGCGTCAACGTCGTTCACTCCATCTCCCTCCCGTTCACCGTTCCGCCTCTCTCTCTCCGCCGTCCCGGCCGTGTATCCCATCCACCGGGTAGTTATCATAAATGGTAACAAAACTATTCATTTTGTACAAAACAGTAACAAATCTTTAATTTTGCACGTTTCAGTAACATATTTTTTGACTAATAACAAAAAGGTAATTCCGTCCATCTCCATCAAAATTCTGTTAGTTTGGTCCAGTCAGCTATCCCGTCAGCATCCACCTCAGTAAAATAATTAATAAAAAATAAAATAAAAACAAATTAAACCCTAACCAACCCACCACCCCACCACCCCAATCGAGCCCAACCCATTCCTCTCTATCTCCTCTTCTTCTCCGCCGGAAGACAAAGATGAAAGAACAGCAGGGAGAGAGACCACAGCGAGGCTGAAGTTGAATAAGGAGTCGCTTCGGTGGAGGCGGAAGTTCTTGACCTCTACTCTCAAGTGGAAGCGAGTCAATTTGCAGATATCGCTGGTCGACAACGTCCTCTTCAAGGTCGCCTCGGTTCTCTAGGCGATTGTGCTGGTAGCCACCCTTTCTTTCTTCTACCTCTGTTGCGGCTGCCACTTTTGATCATCGATTTCAAGAAAGAACTGGAAAATTGGAGTTCCCTCTCAAGATTCGACCTTTTTGTTTTCTTTTTACGGGGATGGAAATATGGATTCTTTCTTCTTTTTCTTCTAATCTTTTTGATAATTGTATAATTGAGTTGTACAGTCCTTCTTCTAGCCATAGAATTATGAGAACTCCATCTTTTTATTCTTTCCTCGTCTTTCCCCTCATTCTCTGTTTTGCTTCCCTGCCGGCCTATCATTGACCGGCTGCCGCCGCTGTCTGTAATTCATCTTTGATCTGTACCCAATTTGCAAACTTTAGCATTCCCACATCTGGGTTTCCAGTTCCTTTTCCTTTTCTCCTTCCCATGCATCCTATGTATCTTTTCTCCCCCAATTCACCTAGTCTCTGCCTCTGTCACAAGGGAGTCCAGAAACAGGGGATTTCCTCCAATTGCATTCTCTAAAGTCAATCCGAATAGTTCTCTAACGGGCTGTTTCGGGTTTTCCATGATTATGCAATTGAACGTTAAGTTTGCACTTTTTTTTAAGCTTTCATCGTGTTCTTCGTCTTCCGGCGGAGAGGGAGAAGAGACAGAGAGGAATGGGCTGGGTTGGATTGGGGTGGTGGCCTGGTGGGTTGGTTAGGGTTTAATTGATTTTTATTAATTATTTTGCTGATGTGGATGCTGACGGGATAACTGATTTGACCAAACTAACAGAATTTTGGATGGAGATGGACGGAACTACCTTTTTGTTATTAGTTAAAAGATATGTTACTGAAACGTGCAAAATTAAAGATTTGTGACCGTTTTGTACAAAGTAAATAGTTTTCTTACCATTTATGATAACTACCCCATCCACCAACTGACCCGACCCGGAAATTACAACACTTCTCTCTAATCTCCGGGTGAACGCTAGAACCCTCCAAAAGACACTAAAACCTCACAAGCCTTCTTCCGAACTTCACAGTCACACAGCTCAATTCGGAACGCAAGCTAATTTCAGCTAAAAACCCTGCAGTTTTTTCGAGGCCATGGTTAGCTTAAGCTACTCCTATGTTCCTCCCTTTCCGATACATTCTTCGATTGTTTGCGTCAACTAGCTCAATCTTCCTGGTTTGCAGGAACAAGCTCAATCACCCTCAATCGGCGACTGCTTGAAGCTGCTGAAAGGCGAAAGAGACGAGCAGCTCCTCGCCGGGTTGCTTCTAGTCACCAAAGTTTGCCAAAGAGACGACCTAGCCTCGCTTCGTGCGGTTTATGATGCCGTGGACGTTCGGTTTCTCGACAGGCTCTTCAAGACTGGTACTGCTTTCTTTGCCCTATACCTGCATGGTTGCTTAGAAAGTTCACAGAGAATGAATTGGAACTTTGTGATTGCTAGTCCAGTTTTCTGGGGGTTCTTATTTTTTTTGTCGATTTTGGTAATCTGAAGTGTATGAACTGCCGGTTTTTCTTTTTTAAAACTAGGGATGGGTAAAGGAGCTGCAGCAGGCAGTGGTTTGGATAACCGAGATGCTTATTTGCAGCTATCGGTCACGATTGTTGCTGCGTTTTGTCGCGTTCCAGAAATTGCTGCTTCCAAATACATGGTATCCAAGGTTCCCATGGTTCTGAAGATAATGACGGAGTAAGCTTCTTGTTTTGAGCTTGGATACTAATTTGTTAAACCGTTCTATTTGCTCATGATTAATGCTTATTTAACACTGCTGGATTCCATTTGTTAAGCTGCAACTGTTCAAGCCAGTTATTTGCTCACTAACTGTATTGCAATTTTAGTTACGTTATGTGTATAACCATTAGTGTCATCACTTTGAATTGCAGATCAAATGATGCTGTTCTTGTAGAATGCTGTGAAATTCTATATCTGGTAGCAACTTCTTCAGAAGATGGAGTAAGCACGTTTTGTGAATCCGAGGGCCTTAAAGTCATAGCTTCAAGAATGCATACTATGTCTGATGGTAACTTACTTCTCATTTGCTGTGTGCTGACTTAAGCTTTAAAGATTTTCATTCCTGAAAAATCATTTCAGTGTTGATATCCCACAGGTTCTCGTACCATGGAACTGTCAATTAAGATATTACAATACGTGCTTAGTAAGCTCCCTCCAGACTTCACCACAAGCAGCCATCTACTGGACCTTGCAACTTTGGTGAGTTTGATGTTTTGAAGTCATCATGACACGGATATCGTTTCCTTAGTTGCTTTCATCAAAAGGCATGCAGGAGTGCCAACTTATTGATGCTATATGTACTGAAGCTAATGTTTTGTTAAACTAAGTATGCAATTTAAGTTCTGAAGTTCCGAACTCTGTTGAGACTGTGGTTTCTGTCGCAGGTGGAATCATTAGCAAGACAGTTTGCTGTATTGCACAGTCCTCTGAAATTTGAAGCACTTCATTTACTTTCAGTGATTTTCTCTTCGAAGTATTTGGTACGTGAACACTTTTTTATGGGTACTTTTGATGGACAAGTGTTTCAAATTTTATCTTCATAGCTTACTTTTTGCTCAGTGTACACTTGAGGGGATGAAATAATACATCAACTGGGGGATAATCAATGGAAGAAACTCTTCCTTAAACTTACTTATGAAGGATGTAGGACATCACTGAGAGAGCATCTTTTTTCTACCTAGAATAAGTGGCAGTATGTTAGGTTTTGAAGGCAAGAATGGCAGAGATATTAGGACTTTCCGTTTGCTTCTCAATTTTGGATTGGGTTGCAAGTACAAAGTATACGAGGACACTGTTGAAAGGAAGAGAGTAATTAGGGGAGATAACCTTAAATGAGGAACAATCCCTATTTGCGCTGCTGAGTCTTATACCACTTACTTTCTGGGAGTCCTAAGACCATGATTTTGAAATTAATGTGGTTGCTAACTTGCTATTTCAGGAATCACTTCGTGAAACCTTGCGTGTAATGGTAGGCAGCAAGTGGCCTGACTATATCCACATCGGTGTTATGGATATTTTACAAAATCGAGTTGGTAAAATTCAACTAATATAAGATTAAAGTTATTATTATTATTTTTTAAGATTGAGTTAGATAAAACAAGGATTCCCCCTCCCCCTCCCCTTTCATCTGTTTGGGACTCCTTTGTTATCTCACGATTGCATTTGTCTTTCGGTGTGCAGCTCCTGCTGATAAGGTTCATGCCCTTGTTCTGGCTGAGTCAATGTTGTCTATATCAGGGGAATCCTGGCTGCTTCGCCAGCCAAACTTGACAAATTGCAAGGCATCTGTGCCTGTTGATAGGTAACTCTCTGTTTTAGTTCTGCTTTGTTTGAGCCATTTTAGATCTTTTTGGTTATTTTCTCGTTGATCTATTCAGGTGTCTATTGCTTGTCTTGGAGTCTGCAAGAGTAGAAGTGGCTGTTTTGCTTAACGAACTGGCTTATCTCAAGTTTGAAGCTTCAAAGTATACCTCAAGTAGTGACACTGCTCTCTCAACAAAGCAGCAGCACCTGACTGTTGCATTTTCCTTGGTTGAAGGAATAATCAAACTAATATCAACCATGGGTGAAAATGGAGGTATTTTACTCAATGCTGAAGTCTTGAGTGCTGTAGAGATACTCAAGCTATAGTGGTGAAAGATTCTGTGATATGCTTTAAGTTTGCCATCATTCCTTCCCATGGTATGGAAAATTAGTCTGGTTTCTCGTTCTTTTGGAGTTATTTGTAGTGTTGACAACCTATGACTCCATGCACATACTATGATAGTCTGCTGATTGCTTGTTAAAGCCATTTAGACGTTTCATTTTAGGTCTCACATTATTGGAGTAATACCCATCTTCTTTGGGTGGCAGTTTGCTTGTTGGTCAATTCTTTCATCAGATTTATATTTGCTTGTGAACTATGTTACACTTGTGTGGTTGGCTGAATTTAATTCAAGGGCGTAATAGCTGTTGCCTGTGTTGTGTACAACAGAAGTCATTAGTGAAGCAACCATTATAAAGGTGATCAACGGGCTTAACGAGACAGTTAATGTAGTATTGGAGTACTTGCAGGATGCAAAGGTAAAAACTTACTGACATGAAGCTGCTGTATTTCTTTGAAATTACATGCTCCTTGAATCGCTGTTCTATTCTACAGGAGCATGGACAAAAGAAAGGAAATGACCTGATTGCTTCAGTAAGACTTGTTGGGAGGTAGTTTCCTGTGACATTTCCTATAAACGAGTCTCCTTGTTAATGTTCCACTACAATTTGGCGTGGATCAGTTACAGATGCTTGGAGGAAATGATCTGATTTTTTCTTTCTTTCTGTTTTCGGATAGAACAAGTAAAGCAAATTGGTAAACTGTATGCTTGATAGCTCTAACCCAAATAGCAGTCTTTCTAAACTTCTTGCTTTGTTAAACTGGTTTCAATGTGGTTGACATATCTTCGTGTTGGTAAAGTTACCTCGCAGAAACACCCTATGCGTCAAGTGACAAAGTCAGAGAACTTTTGGAGTACATGTTGTCTATTGAAGGTGAAGATGAAACAAGGTTTTGTATTTGTGATATGGGTTTTGCAAGATATTGTTAGTTGAGTATGTCTCTTCTATATGGTACATTGAACTTGAAGAATGGCTTCCCACATTGCCTCTTTCAAACTCTGCAGCCCTTTCTATTCCATATGCTTCTTACTTCCAATGCTGTGCCAAATGACAATGGAGATACAAGGGTGCAAAACTTTGATTTCATCCAGAGGTCACAAGGCTGTAAGTTGGTAGCATTTAAGGTTTCCTTACAGTTCTTTGGCTGTATTCTTCTTTTATTTGGTTCATCTTGCGAATTGTTTCACTGTTACTTACTGTATTCTGAAAGAGCCAGCTGACTGCAGTTTGTCTGAATATACCAAATAGTGGACAAATCTGATTTCTGTGTCTCATGTCTAACAATTGACAATTTTTGCAGGTGGTTGAGTTTCTTGTCAAGTTGCTCTGTAATCCCGTGACTGAAGACATGGATCGCATCTTTTTGGCATGCGACACAGTAATGAACCTTCTTTTGAAGGTCTGCTTACCTCTAGTTATATGGCGATGTCGTATTTTTTGCTTTGCGTGAAGTAAGATTTCAGAAGCTTACTTTCTTTCACTTTTCCTGTCGATAGCAAGAGGAGGTACACTTTCAGATGGAAGAATCAAGCTGCATTAGTCTCTTGAATGCATTGGCATTTTGGGCAGGTAGCTTTCTGGTGTATTAGCATTTATCATCTGTGATTTCTGTTCATTTCCTGCTCTTTTATCAAAAGCTTCTGCAGACATCCAGAACCTTACTAGTATTCCATGGCTTTAAAATTTTGCAGAGAAGTCAGATGATCCATCTGTGCTAATGATGGCTGCAAGTATATGTGCACTGGGATTAGATTTCACATCAGAAGCAGCCCTTCTAAAGCATCCTAATTTCGACTCGAGATCACTTACTCGTCTTTGCCACCTCATCTCAAGAAGCTTCGCTTTTGCTACTCAGGTAACCATGACAGTGGTTCACTCACCCACCTACTCACGAAAAATCTGCTCATACAGCCAACTGAAAATCCCTTGTTCAAATTTTGGTTTCATCGCAGGGCATGGCAGATGCTGTTCGATCAGAAACAGACCTTATTGAGATTATTAATTCAGGTCTAGGCATTAGCTTCTTCCAGAAACCATAACTTACGTGCAACCTAGAATGCCTTTCCTTCATTCGTCTTAAATTCATGAAATGTGTCGGTTTCGTTTCTCTTTAATCTAAAGTTTTCGTATCTATCAACGTGGCACAGGTTTTTCACGGTGGGCTGATCGGTTCCCTAGCATAAAAGCAGCAGTTTTGGGAGTTTGAGTATGTTGCCTTGCGAACGATCGGTTTAGGATTGCATCCGGCTGCTAACTGATAATCCATATCAATACAAAAGCGCTACAGATGTTTCTATCAGGCGAAGAGCTCTCTACTGCTTGTTCTGTACGAATGGAGTCAATGACTTGTACATTACGACCTATCTACAAGACCTCAATTAGGAACTATGTAGTGCACAATGTCCTTAATCCTCTACATGTATAAGTGGAACAGTGTAGCTTTAGCCAGTGTTGAACACTATTAGCAATATATTATGAAACCATAAACATCATTTTAGCCCTGCGTACAGCTCTCGTCCTTGCTTCCTTGAGACCCCGCCTAACTTCTCCTCGACAACTTTCTCTGCCTTCTCTGTCACGAATGTCATATGTGGGAGCTCTTCTCCACGCTTCAGGATCTTGACGCTGCCTGTGGCTAGTTCTCTTGCGGCAGAAAACCAAGGGTTTCCACGTTAGGCACTGGATCAGTCGCTGCCAGGCCATGCCTTCGATTCCTACCGTTTTGTTTGCAGTGGTGCAGCTGTTAGGACCATTTGGAGTTGCGTGGTGTAAGAAGCAAGCCTCGGCGAGATGACCATTCAACTATGGAGTGTCGGGGATTTGCAACTGCTACGGCCATTGCTGTGGAAAACTTGTAGAAGGAGCTTTCTCCTTTCCTTTGATATAGGGTGCGGCCAATGGATGGTGTAATGGTGTTTCCCTTTTCAATTCGAGGAACTGACAATTTGCGCTTCCTTTCCTGACTCAATTCGGATTAATCGTCGTAAAAGCTTGAATATTGGGGCCGATTGAGAGTCGCCGTTGTTTTTACTAGGCCCACAAATGGGCCTTTCATGGGCTACTATGTTTACAGGAGCTGCTGGCCCAAATAAGCTTCTGTAGTCTTGCCAGTCGCCAAATTGATGCAGTTGCATAAATTGGATCTCTTGACTGTGTCAAGTGAATCGTTATTCTACGATTAGGGTTTTCTCCTCACTCGCTCGCTCGGCGGCCTCGGCGTCTTAGCTCTCTCGTTGCACCACCGTCAGTCGGCACTCCCACAATCCCGCCGCAACCATGGCCGAGCAGGTTCGGTGCCTCTCAATCTCTCTTTCGTTTTGGCCTTGCAGTGGCTGTTAATCTGATGGCGTTTCTTGTTGTGCTTGATCTGTGTTGTGCCAGACTGAGAAGGCTTTCCTGAAGCAGCCCAAGGTGTTCCTCAGGTAAGCTTTTCTCTTATATTCTGCATCGTTCGTCGGAGTTTTGGTGCTAGTGTTCTTTGGGGATTCTCATTGGTGATTCTAATTCGGCTTTGTTTTGTAGCTCTAAGAAGACAGGGAAAGGAAAGAGGCCTGGGAAGGGAGGAAACCGTTTCTGGAAGAGCATTGGATTGGGATTTAAGACTCCCAGAGAAGCAATTGAAGGTCTGTTTTGCGGTTTCTTTACCATGTTGTAGCGTTGTTTAGTATTTCCTGTTTCCCTTAGATTGGTTTTATACATTTGTGAACTCGAGATTGCCGATACAACTAGCGATTTGATCCCAGTCAAATGCCTGCTATGCTTTGCATTTTATCAAGTGTGAGCTAGTTTTTCATTCCTAGTTCCATTTGGGTTAAGCATTCATTATGCAATTACAAGCCATAATGCTCTTTTGTAGCTAGATGTATATATATTTAGAGTTGCTGCTCTGTTCTATGTGAATTCATCTGATAACTTATGTCCGAATTTACTAAGGCCGGGAATGGAAGTTGTGGCTAGGGGACGGATGAAGTGTTCAAGTGTTGTGTGTAATTATATTGGATATCATCATAGCGACTGGCTGATTTTCGAGCTGATTCAATTATGTGTGCAGGCACATACATTGATAAGAAATGCCCATTCACCGGTACCGTTTCCATCAGAGGCCGAATCATCGCCGGTACTTGCCACAGTGCAAAGATGATGAGAACAATCATTGTCAGGCGCAATTACCTTCATTATGTGAAGAAGTACCAGAGGTGAGAGTGTGCACCTAAATATAGTCGAACTGTTCTTGTGTGAGGTTTCTGTTCGTGTTAATTCATACTCTTCATGTATTCGATCAGATATGAGAAGAGGCACTCCAACATTCCAGCGCATGTATCACCATGCTTCCGTGTGAAGGAGGGCGATCATGTTACTATTGGTCAATGCAGGTTAGAGAGTTTCTTCATGCTGATGAGTTATCAGAATGAAGCCTTTTCCTTCCAAAGAAATATCGAATGATGTTTATGTTGATTCTTGCTGCAGGCCTCTGTCCAAGACTGTGAGGTTCAATGTCTTGAAAGTGATTCCTGCTGGTTCCTCTGGTGGCGGCAAGAAAGCTTTCACTGGCATGTAATTTCTTATTTGAAGAGTTTTGAAGGCTTTGCTGGGTAGAGTTAATGATTGAAGTTGCAAATTTTCATTTTGGTTTAATTGGTTGAACTGATTTTGTACTACAGAGAGATCTGTTTGATACTAAAGTGATCCTGAATTTTGCCTGTTTTTATGCTTTGGTGAATTTTCTTTTTTCTGAATCCACTTCTGTTCTGGCCAAGGTTTGCGGACAATTGATGTTGGGCTTATGTTAAGTCCGTAATAGGGCGCTGCTCTGGTGTTGTAATCCCATCGTAGGCCGTGTTCCACAAACTCGACCAAGGCTGATGCTCGTAAAATAGGTATGGTTCGACTCGCGCTGGGCTAAGTTTCGTTGTTGGCGCTCCAGAACTGAGCCCAGAATTCAGATCAATCATATCAAGCTATATACGTTGAGATACGAGCATCGGGACGTTGAAATATTCGAAATTTAAATGGGAAGAAATAAGCAAAAATGGTAAAACACCATGACAAATGGCGTAGTTAGAATTAGAAGTTAAAGGTGGGTCTATCATAAAAAAAAATTTAGTGTAACTTCACTTGTATTAATTACTTTACAATTATCCAATGTAAAACTGAAAAAATCAATACGGGTAAATGCCACATTTGGTCACTGAAATTACTAAATTGTGTTATGTTTAGTCACTATAAAAAATTAATATCAATTTTGTCACTCGAATTACTAAAACATGTCACATTTAGTCACTCTCCTGTTATCCTTCGTCCAACTCTGGTCACTCGAATTACTTTTTTAATGAATGTCACTCGAATTACTGAAATAAGTCACATTTGGTCACTAAATGTGACATGTTTTAGTAATTCGAGTGACCAAAATTGATATTAATTTTTTTAGTGACTAAACATGATATGATTTAGTAATCTCAATGACCAAATGTGACATTTATCCATATATATCTATAGATTTGAAGATACCTTCTTGATTTTCAAAATTTGATTTTGGCTTCCATTAGACTGTAGTTTAGCCATTGTCAATGCAGTGCAAACGATCTGCCTTGGTATGAACCAGCTCCACCAGACCACCACTGATTACAACTAATTTAAATAATATGAGTAAGCAAATGAATTCATAATCTTCATCACCATTACATATCTATATACTGTTGGTCTAATTTGTCACTTGACTCATGACTGACCTAGGTCCAAATCTCAATAATAATATTTTTATCTTGAAAAATTATATCATAAACCTGTTGTTTGAGCCAACCAGTTTCAAGAATTAATCGCCCAAACGAGCCAGGGCCCGTCAATGCAGTATGAACCCCTTTCAAAGCCGTCTAAACTAGATATGTACTTGGATTAGGTTTTTTGGTCAAACCAACAGATGTGATTTTTACAATAATAGGAGAAAATGCAATTCCTACGATTACTAGAGAAATTTTAGAATGTTATATAGCATTGGTGTTATAGGTTTTTGCTTTTATGGTACAACTTAAAGTTATATCTTTAACTTTATGGTACACCTTCAAATTGTATCTATACTCTAATGTACCTTTTTTTTGTACAACTTGGACTTGTACCTTTATATGAAGTTGTACCATAACATAAGAGTATAAATTCTTTTCTGGTACAATCTGAACTTATATATTTAACATTATGGTACAATTTCAAATTATACATTAAATCACCATTACTATAGTAGAAGTGCCATAACTTCCTACCTCACATTGAATTTTTTCCTTTTTTACTTTACTAAGTGTAGATGTATTAATCCCGTAACTTTTCTTTATGGGTTATATGTATAATATGCCCCTCTACTATGACGTTTTATCAAACATGTCCCTCTACTATTTTTTTACATCAAATATGCCCATGTATTTTGAAAAAATTATCAAACATGTCCTTCTGTTAAAATTTTCCATTGAAAAAATCGTCAATCATGGTTGAACCGAGATTTAGACGACCCGACATTGGCAAATGGGAGGAAAAATGTCAGTTTTGTCCCCTGTTTTATTTCTCTGGGTCTTTTCAAAGTGAAATTATTTGAATGATTTGATTATACAAAAGAACCAAAAAAAATTTAAAGTGAATTTATTAGAGATATTTTAGTCATTTGTGTTGCCCAAACTAAAGTTCGGCCTTGGTTAACGATTTTTGGATGAAAATTTTAACAAAAGGGCAGATCATTTTTACAAAGTACATGGGCATATTTGATGTAAAAAATAGTAGAGGGACATGTTAGGGGCATATTATACCTATAATATTTTTTATTAACCCTTTTTGTCAAAACAGAGAATATGTTCTTTATTAATCCATTTTTGTAAATACGAAGAAATTCCAAGACTGAAAAAGTCCGCCTTCTATTAGTCAAAGAACAATCTCGTGGAAATTTACGTAGAATACCTACTAGCTAGTAGCTACTGTAGATTTATATATCAAATCAAAAGAATATAGCTTAGTTTGGCCCTGCTGTAGCTTTTGCAGAAGCAGCTTCTGGCTGGAGCTTTTAGATAAGTACTTTTCAAAAAAAGCAGTTTAGTGTTTGGCTGTAAAACTATTAGAAGTGCTTTTTAATATGAGCGGTTGTGTAAAATGACTATAAAGGACTTATAATATAAAATATAAATAAAAATTCGAAACAATAAAAAGTAGTCAAAATGGATCTTGTTAGATTTCTTTTATATTAAATAATATGATTTTATAATTTATTTTATTTTTAAAATGATATAAATGAAGGAAAATTATATTTTATGAAATAAAATTAAAATATGGTAAGGATAATCTTGTATTTTCAAAACAGCTTTTCGCAGAAGCTCCAAATCGGAGCTTCTGCTTTTATGTTATACAAAAGCGCTTTTCGGCTTTTCAAAAGCCGAGCTTTTAGAGGTGTTTGGCCCTGCTTAAGCTTTTGAAGCCGAAAAGCACTTCTAAAAGCCGGGCCAAACATAGGCTATATAATGGTGGAGTTTT